TAATAAATTCTGACAGTCCTATGCTATAAGACTAGCGTCTAAGTTTGCATAAAAATTCCTCTGTTAAATAAAACATTTAAGTAAATTCTGTAGCCTTTTTGTAAATACATTAAAATTTTTTTAACTAATTACATGTCCTCGCTTGCAATTAGAACCATCATTAAATCCCTATTTTATCTAATCATTTCCTGAACATTATCATGTATATAGATTGACCTCGTGTTTGTAACTGATAATTATTACTTGCAAATTATTCTCTTGTTGGTAAATTATTAACAACCCTTTCTATTGCTGAGTTAGGATTAACAACTTTCGCTCTCGCTACCACCTGCCTCACGGAAATCGGCGTAAAATGCTGCTATCTCGGTTGATTGTGCGCATGCGCGAACGTAGGTGGTGTGAATGGTGTCCAGACAAAAGCCCACTGGACGAAAGCGCACGCGACAAAAGCCCATAAAAAGACCCCACTGTGATTATTGTCCACAAGACAAATACCTACACCTGTAATATTTAATAATTTGTAAATGGCAACATTTAACATTTAATATTTAGTAACTTGTAATTGGCAACACTTTGGATACAGATATGAAAATAGAACTATGCTGGTATTGCAGGTCTTCTAATATTATACATTCTATTATTATAAATAAATAGTTTATAAAAACTAAAAGTGCACCCTCATTATTTTATATGGCGTCAGAAGTATTTTGTTTTCAAAATGGAAAGTTTTAAACCGCCAGAGCCGATGAAATTTAATGGAAATCTTGCTTCAAATTGCCAAAGATGGCTGAAATAATTCGAAATATATGAAGTAGCTAGTGGATTACATAATAAAGAAGAGAAGGTAAGAGTTAATACTTTTCTTCATGTAATAGGAATTCGTGGTCTTGAAATATATAATACATTGAGCAGACACTTTGAGTAGAGCATATTTGAATACAACAGAAGAAGATAATGAGGAAGATACAGAAATTTGTACGCTGATTCCAGCATCTGATGACAAAATTTATGAACTGAAGAAAGAAAGCGAATGTGATGCTACACTACAGTGCTTAAAGAAATATATTCTGAGAGGTTGGCCAGAAAGGAAACATCAGGGGGAACTTCAAGTCAAAGTATTTTGGGACTACAGAGATAAGTTGACAATTGAAAATGACTTATTTTTCAAAGGAGGAAGGGTAATTATTCCTTTATCTATGCAAAGAGATTTAAATTTAATTATGAGGGTCATTTGGTATAGAAAATGTAAGAAAAGAGCTAGAGATGTTTGTTTTGGCCATTATGATCAAGCAGATAGAAGATAAATTTCAAATGTCTATATTCAATGAACCAGAATAAAACATAAGAGAGCCTATGATACTACATAAAGTTCCAATTTACTTGGTATAAAGTTGCAAACGATTTATTTGAGATTAACAAAGAGTATACTTATTAATTGTAGATTACTATTCCAAATTTTTTGAAATCTCCAAACTAACAAATACTCGAAGTCAGGCAGTGATCAGTTCATGAAATCTCATTTTGCAAGATACGGTATACAATTGATAGTGATATCTGATAATTGGACCTCAGTTTGCAAAGTAAAGAATTTGCAGAATTGCTAAGAAATACCAATTTAAACATATAACAAGCAGTCCATACCATCCACGTCGAAAATTAGCAGAGCGTTCAGTACAAACAGCGAAGAAATGTTAAAGAAAGCTAAGCAGATCAGCTGACTTATTAGCATTGTTATCTCATAGAAACACTCCAACTAATGAGATGTTAGGATCACCAGCTCAATGACTTATGAGTAGAAGAACAAGAACGATTCTTCTTACATCCGAAGAATTACTTAAACCTCAAGTTGTGAAAAACGTAAAAGAAAATACCAACGAAGAAAGAAATAAGCAGAAGTCATATTATGATCGTCATACAAAAACCTTACCATCGCTAAATAAAGGAGATTGTGTTAGGGTATATCAAGATAATCGCTGGAAACCAGCAGTTGTAGAAGAAGTATATAGAGGCCTAGATCATATATACTGAGACAAATGGATCAGTATTGAGAAGAAATAGAAAAGACATTATAGAAAAGCAGTGTTGAAGAGAAATCAGTGGAACAGAACAAGGAGTTAATGCACAGAAAACAGATGTAAAAGGATGTGATACCAAATATTCTCAAGGGCAAAGTTTAGAAGAACAACTACCAAATACTGCTAACTCAAAAACAAGGGAAGATGAGCAAAGAACTAGAAGTGGGAGAGGGATTAGAAAGCCGGCCAGGTATTTAGACAGAAAAAAAAAATTGAACTCTTTAAAAAAACGGAAGTTGTCATATTTAATAATTTGTAAATGGTAAAATTTAATATTTAGTAACTTGTAATTGGCAACACTTTGGATACAGATATGAAAATAGAACTATGCTGGTATTGCAGGTCTCTGTAATATTATGCATTCTATTATTATAAATAAATAATTTACAAAAACTAAAAGTGCACCCTCATTATTCTATAACACCCATGAAAGCGCACATTAATAAAACCCACTCCGATAAAAGACCATATTGATATAAGCCCACGTTGATAAAAGCCCACACTGACAAAAACCCACATAGCTTCTTATAGCTATTCGCAGCGTCGGTGCGATTAGCCACTGCGCAATGTCCGTAGAAAGAACAGGTTAGCTCACTTGGAATAAACAAACGAAAAGCCAGCGACTCGTCGGCTCTGACGTCACTTAGTTCGCTGTAGCATCTCCTAATATAGTTTCGTATTTCCTTTTGAATACTTTCTGTTTCATCGGAAAGTAAAATTTATAATATTTGGAGTTGAAATTTAACTACCTAAAATATTGTTTACTGTATAGAATAAGTCTTAATTACGAAATGTTCCCTCAGTAATTTATTTTCATCAAACAATCTTCCAAACTTCCTTACAGAATTGGCATCAAGATTCAGTTGTTTAATACCTTACTCATTTAGCTTCAACAGACTGAAAACCCACATTTCACAAGACTGGAAAATATGTAGTGTAGTCCAAGCTTAAATTGCGCCGGCTACGGTACTTTTTCAGTTATGGGATAAATTCATAATTCCGCCGAAGGCACCGGGAGCCCTAACAAAAGGCTCCGGCACTTCTTTTATGTAATAACGGAACTACAATTTCAGTAGGAATTTAATCTCAAAAATTTTATTTTTGAGCAATAAAATTATATTAAAATCGCTTATTAAATGTTAATTTACCTCTTACATTTTATTGAATTATTTTAATAAATAATATCAATTATTAATTATTATTAATGTTAGATAATAATTAATAATATTAATACTAATATTACTTAAGTAATTATTTATTAATGATAATAATGGCCTATTAATTTTAAATGATTATGATTTAATAGTCATTTTATTTATTTATTTACTCTTGTTCTTCTTCGCTAACGGTTTCCATAGGGTTCCGGCCTTCTAATTTTAGAAATTAAGCCCTGAGGGTATGATATTTAAATGGTGAATAGAAAAATTCAAATTAAGAATATTTATTCTATAAAGCTATACAACCTGTCCTTAAGTTTGGAATCTAATTTGGCGAAATTTAAATTTATTTATTTTGCTAAAACCTACTTTCGGCCATGTTTCGCAGTACTTGTTTCATTTAGAAATCTTAGTTTACTTGTGGGTTTTTCTTTTTCAGATGAATGGAATGAGCTTTTCCGTAACATATGATTAATTTTAAATTAAAAAAAAAAAAAAAAATTGCATAAAATATAAGTCGCTAGATCTAAAACTTGTTTGTAATTTCTTGATGTAAAGCAGCAACAAGAAACATAAACAATGAACTATTCAAGCTATACTGAAAGGAAGTGTAATTCATGACATTTTTAAACCACAGCGTTTTTACAGCAGATTCTTTAATCAGCAGCTGCAAATGTAATTCTAAATAAAATTGAGCTACATTTTACCTTGAATTTTACTTTTTAGCAAGAATAAAAAATAAAAAATTCCCAAAAGTATTCAGATAGAAGATGTTCCTTTTTATACAAAAATGAGTAAAAATATTAAAGAAATTTTGCATATCCTCTATTATGTTTTGTTATTAATATTGTATATTTAGAATTTTATCGTTTAGGTTTCTATATTTATTTTACTTATTTTTTATTTCTTTCTACGGACCTTAGCCGCCACTGCTGCCGTTACTAACGGATGAAGATGCATTTCAGGTGGACGAGTCTTCCTCGGGGCAACAGCAACAATTAGGGCTTCCCTGCCTCGTGTAACTCAATCACATTAGAGGTCCACTCTTCCTTTACTCACCTCGTGGAGGTTAAACCTCCACTATTACCCTCCAAGGGAGCAGCGCACCACCTGGATAAGACACCAGGCAGCACCGGTCGTCAAGTTGCTCCTACCAGTCGCTTGGGCGAGCCCGTCGCAGTGGGACATTACCCAGCGAACACGGGGGAGAATCCCCCGGGCTACTAGTACCACGCCGCGCTAGGACGTGCCAGACTTTGAGGCCGGCCAATAAGTGACCTTTCCCAGAGCATTCAGAACTACCAAGGTCAGAAATTTTATAGCCCCGTGGCCGAGACTGCCTAGGTACAGATCCCAGCCAGTAGCTTCGCAGAGTTCTCTACGTCGACCCCCGGGGGGGGGTTTCTCGGGGCAAACGGTGAACTGGTTAAATACAATGGACGTTCGTAAATTCGAATTCGGTTATTTCGAATCTTCTGGTAATTCGAACTAATACAAGGGCCCAAAAACTTTTATTAGAATTAATGTTAAAAATATCTTATTAATTCAAACTACATTTTGATCACTTCGGCTAATTCGAACAAAAAATTTGACAAAAAATTCTTTTTCCTCTTTTAACAGATAAAAATACACGCTGTATTTATTATTTTGTATGTCATAATTATTTGTATTTCTTTTCTGTCTGTAGGTGGTACTGGAAAAGCTCTATGAGCTAGCCCTCGTTGTCTGAGTTTTGTTCTGAGCACTAACCGTGAGAGTACGACGAAAATTGAAATCGGCGCGGTTGTTCGCCGAATTCGTTCTATATTGCTGTGAAGATATCGTAATTTTCTTTTTATCGTTATAAATATTAAAATTGTTGAGGATATTGCATAGTAGTTATGGAGGATTGTGAAATGACAGATATTCAAAGTATTGGCCCAAATAACTGGAATATTTGTGAACGTCAACCACGATTAAAAATTGGGGGACTTTATACTGTACGGCGATCCGATGATACATGGCGTATGTATTGATCAACTTTAAGTATATTTTTACGTTTATGTGAAAAAGGTTTGTTAAGAATATTTATAGTTTTGTGATTAATGAATTTCTTTGTGGATTTTTTTTTTTTTTTTTTACTTTTGTTCTTAAACAGTATAAGTTTGCTTTATTTGTAAAGTATACATCATAGCTTTCATATCATAGGTATTGAATACTTTATGTGTTAATTATAGTTTTAAATATTTGGTTAAAGAATTCATATTGTTGCAGATAAATAGTTGCGTTTACAAATGCTTGTATGAAGGTGATTTATATTAAAATTTCTAAATATATTTTGCCTAGCAGCTTTCAACAAGTCAACACATTTTCATCGGGTACCAGATTTTGAATAATCTCGTACATTACATATTTGCTGTTTATTTTCTGCGTGATAGGAAGATAGCTCATATGCAAGCAGGCTAAACAAATTAACTGTGCTTGTTGTTGAATTTAGTGGAATAATTTTTTTTTTTTTTTTTTTTAGTTACGCTGTTTCATTTAAAAAATTCTTGGAATGCGCTAAAATAGAAAACTACTCTGATATGCGCCCTCAAGTCACCAAATTTCTCGCCAAACATTTTTGGTGAGAAACTCCACGCTGCCATATTACTATCTAAATTTTTCTTCTACATTTCAAACTTTAAGCCTAAAATGTCTCCAAAAATGCAGTTTTCGCACATGCAAAAACTACGTTTTGAACGCACAATTTAAGCTAAAAAGTCGAAACAAAAAATTTAGATAGCAAAAACGTTAAGTTTCTAACCAAAAATTTTTGACAAGAATCCATGTACGCATCGATATATTTTAACTTGAAAACATCTACGAATGGTACAATCTAGGCAACGAATGAATCTAAAAACTATGCACACCTCGCTTTAATAAATTAACAACAATAAATTTCAAAGAATACCATGTACACAGCATCCTGTTTCAACTTGAAAAAACATCTATGAATTGCACAATTTAGGCAACGAGCAAATCTACGAACTATGCACACCTCGCTTTAATAAATTAACGTAACAACAATAATTTTCAAAGAATACCATGTACACAGCGTTCTGTTTCAACTTTAAAAAACATCTACGAATTGCACAATCTAGGCACTATGCAGTAATCGACAAAATAAACTAAAATAACTAAAATAAATTTCAAACGATTAAGAAAAAACAACAATAATGACAGAAATTCATGCTGAAAAAACAATAAACATAACATTCTACAAAATAAGAATAAAATAAAATTCACTTACCATGAATTAATGCTTTTTCGACCAACCGAAATACCAATTTCATACCGCCTTTAACTTGCCGCCACATAATTACTATCGTATTTATATGACAGCCAGACACACTATCCAGAAAATTCATACTATGGTTCACAAATAAAATCACAAATCCCTATTTCTATCATGCATAGCCACTAAAAATAATTAATCTCCCAGACCCTCTTTCCACACCTCCAAATACCCACTGGTCCTCAACAGGATGGCCACAATATTTCCTTTTGCCGAACTTCAACAACTTCCACCATTTTATCTTCCCCTCCTATCTTCTCAGACACAGACGTGAACGAACGAGCTCCAGCGAAAGATTTTTCAACGTCAACAGGCTTGCCATACAACACGCAATCGTGCCTAAAACCAGCACAGAACGCATATCGCCACATTTGGTGAAATTAGGGCATATATCAGAGTTGTACCCTAAAATCCCTTAAAAAGGTTTAACATTGGGAACTATGTTTTATACAGGTTACTTATTGTATTCCGCTCTACTTTTAGGGCATATATTAGAGTTGTACCCTAAAGTCTCTTAAAAAGGTTCAACATTGGGAACTATATTATTGTATTCGGCTCTACTTTTATATGCATCCTAATATCACCAAATGTGGTGATATGTGTTCTGCGCTGTTTTTGCGCGATAGCGTGTCGTATGGCAACCCTGTTGACGTTGAAAAATCTTTTGCTGGAGTGGTTTAATTGCTTGTTGGTTCGTGTCATGCATGTTTAGAAATGGCGTATGTTGCAATGATAGACGTGGTGGCAAGATTTCAGTTGCGTATTTTAGATTGTGTGGAAAGTAAATTTAGTATTAAAAGGTACGATGCTGGAGTTGTTAACGAGTCTTTTGTTTACGGTGTGTTTATGAGGATTGAAGTGTATTTTTGGAATTTCTGTGGGACTTTTAAAATGTCCGAAAAGCGGAGCTGCTGTGAGAACGCGGACGAAGAAGGGCGTTTCTGATAGTTCTTGTGTGGATTTGCAGTCAAATGGTTGCTGGTATCAGCCACATACTTTTAAGTTTTTTTTTTTTTTTTTTTTATTTTTTTTATAGAGTTTAAGATTTGGATTGTGGTTTTCGTGTAGTATGTTAAATTTGGAGGAAGTTTGAGTTTTTATCGTTACTTTTGAAATTTTGAATCTCAGAAAGACGTGATATAGCAAAATCGTATCACTTTTGTTCTGAGACATTCTGTGACTGGCGAAATTTTATTCAGGAATGTATTATGGTAAGTTCATTTTATTTTGTAGATTGTTATGTTCATTGTTTCTTACGATGAATTTCTGTTGTTATTGTTGTTTTTTGAATTTTTCGTAATTTAGTTTAGTTTATTTGGTTGATTTGTGTGCAATGCCTAGATTGTGCAATTCGTAGATGTATATTTTTAAGTTTAAACAGAATGGAAACACAGTACATGGTATTCCTTGAAATTTATTATGTTAATTTATTGAAGAGAAGTATAATATCACTCCTTTCTTCATCCTCTGCCTCATAGAGAAGTAACTCCACCTTCTTGTATTTTGAACTGTACTAACCTCGATGAATTAGTCCTTCCTTTATATGGGATTACTGATTGTTAGCCGAATTTTCCATTACTTAATTCTTATGAAAAATTAAATTTGCAAATTGTGTTCAATTTCCATTTCTCTATTCCAAATTAATTTAAGTTGCCTTAAAACAAAACTCTTCCTTTTTCCATTGTGTCCGTATATCAGCAAAAGCTTAAAGAAAAAGTGCAAGGTATATAGAAAATATCATGACCGTTAGTAAATTGTTAAAGAACATCCAAGATGAAGGTGCGACAGTGAATAAAAATGTTACTTCTTAACACAACCACTTATGCATAATTTTGCAGTTTTTTTAGAAATGAAAGAAAAGTGTCATTCTCTACCTATCATTATTTGTCATAAGTCAGCAAACATTATCAGCATATCAAAGTAAAAAACATATAAAATATTTTAAAAATATAAATTTTAATTATTAAATGAGGATTATATGATACATTAGTAAAATTAAAACTTATATTTTTCATGAAATCTGCTCTAGCGATCTCTTTTTAGAAAGAAGATAGAAATGAATTTTAGAGGTGTTATTTTCTATTTGAAACGCCCCCGGCGGCAATGCATGCTTGAATTCGTCGAGGCAAGGAGTTTTAGAAGTACCTAACGTCATTCTGCCAGGCATTCATCAGTTGTCGTTCCAGATCTGCGATATTTTGTGGTGCCCGAATGGCGGCCTATCATGCCCCAGACTTGCTCAATTGGTGAAAGGTCTGGTGACCTTGCTGCCCAAGGAAGAGTATTAGCCGCACTTAGACTGTCCAGAGATATGTGAGTGGTATATATATGTGAGTGGTATTGAATAGTCGACAATGATACCGTTGGGGTGGTCCTATCTTGTTTGGCATTTGTGATCCTTGGTCTTCCAAAGCATTCATTTCATCAGCAATTTCCTTGTAGCAACCATTGCTGCCAACATCTTTGCACAGCAGTGTCTGTATGCTGCAGGTGGTGTCCTATTGCTCGGTATGACCACTCAGCTTCTTGCAACCCTACAATGCGACCACATTCGAAGTCCTTTAGTTGTCTGTAAGGTCTTCGATATCGTCGTAATGACATCTTTAGTTGCTTCTTTACGGAATTACAATGGCAGCAACAAAAAAAGATAAAATTTCCGCCTCTATTACTGGTTTTATACTTTGCGAATTGCGTGCAATAATCGCAATTCCTGTTCATTTCCATGTCCATCATTCATGTCCTTGAAACTTTGATCATTTACACGTTCAATCAAGATGTTTTGCATACGAAATTTCGTCACAATCGCAAAAGTTCTTGTGCTTCGATTTTTTTTGCAAAAAAGTGTATTATCTGACTTTGGAATATCTCTTGCAGACTGCTGTGTATTGTCAGGTAGTAATGGAAGCAGCGTGAGAAGTTTAAAAAGAAGCGAGACATTGGCTTGCAGTTTTTAAATAAACTGAAGAGCTTGTTATATAGCTTATTTTGCTCGCAGTTTGAATTTGGTTTTCAGTGATGCAGTTAAACCTTAAACAGTTGCACTAAATTCTTTTCTTTTGTAGCAAAAGTTGTTTAATCTGTTTTCTACATCTATTAAAAATTGAATTGAAATTCAATTCTGACTAATCTTGTGTTCTTTAAGCTGAAACCACTCTATGAAATAAAATGAAAGGCAAGATTTAAAAGGATTAAAGCTGTTAAGTGTGAAGAATGTAATACATGTTTGTTTAACAAAATTACAGCATTAAAATTTTCTTTGTGATCTGGTACAGTATTCCTGTTCATATCAAGAAAGTTATTAAAGTGATTCAACATATGCTGAAACTTATGAATGGAATGCTAGGTGTTATTGAAGAACTCTAAAAACTAAAGAAGAATCAAATTAATTGGTTACATTTTTAGAGGGTACTGTTCAATGTAGTGGTATCATATGCAGAAATTTTTTTTTAAAGCAGTTTTTTTCTGAAAGTAGAGATGATCCTATTTTATTGAAAGAAAATCAATCGCTGAAATTTTGTTTCAGTGCTGAAACAGAATCAATCAGTAGTAAATTTTTTCATTGTTTTAGTGTCTTGTTAAGTTCTTTAGAAAAAGAGTTAAACACTAAGGTAATGAATGTGATGTGTTTAGTGTTATTTGTGAAATTTAGAATTTGTTAAACTGTAAGGAAGATCTAGATAGCAGTTGTGTAGTGATTTCAGATGGTTTAAGTACCCCAAATAAAATTCAGGAAATACAGACAAGCTCTGTACCCCAGGTGGTAACAAATTACCAACAGTTCTGTAGCAGTATTTTCAGTATATTTGAAAAAAAAAAAAATTAATTGGATATCATGAGTCAGTTGCATTGTACATTGCAGTATTAGTCTGAGCTGAATGGAGCTTTTAAAAACCTAATAAAAAGTTATTTACATCTCCAATATATGAAGAACAATTAAGAGATTTTTCTATACTAATAGAAGAAAGACATCACATGTTCATTGGGCACTAATACAAGTTAATTAAAACGTTTGATACTCGGAAAGCAAGAAATATGAAGATTTCAATGAATAATGGAGAAAAAATTACCCGAAGGGAAAAGAAAAAGAAAATATCGTGGGATTTTATATAGCAAAACTATGAGCACACGAGACAACTTTAATGAAATTTGATAAAGAATAGTTTAAAAAATAAATCAAGCGATGAACTTGTAAGTAAATGTTTATAACATAGTATTATAAAATTAAGAAAGGACCGATAAAAGTGCATTAAATATAATATAAGCCTATTTCTTCATGCATTTTAAAATGCTTCATGTTTAAATTGCTAAATGAGTTGTAATTCTGAATTTAGTGAAAATATGCTAGACATTTCAGATTCATTTAATAGAAAATATTGTTCTTTTTCATGAATACAATATAAATGCTATATTACACTTTTTTATTACTTTTGTATTCTATTTGGCTGTGGGAAAAAACATAAATTTGAAAATTGTTAATATAAAAAATATTTAGCTTAAGTGCCAAGTTTTTTTTTTTCGCAAATAAATCAGTGATAATAAATTCTGTAATTGCCTGAATTTGCTTTCTAAAATCCTGCTTGTGGGAGTTCCCAAAATTACTTAAACCTATTGGGCTTATTAACAATAGTAATATATCTGAGATATTGAAAGTACTGTGGAATAATAAGGAAAATATCTGTGATTGATTAGTTAAGTGATTTTAAGTACATTCAGATTTTAGTGATACTGAGCTAAGAAAAAAATGTTGTGTCTTAGTATGAAGAAATGCAGTGTATATTTTGTAAGAAATTAATTCCTTAAGAATTTGTAAATATAAGTTCATCATTCAACACAGATATTTATGGAATTGGTCGAAACTAAGTACATGAGCTGGACCAAATTATTGTGTCAGTCTCCAAAGTTAGAAAATTTGGCTGTTGGAGATTCCCTTTTGGGCAGAATGTTTCATGACATTTGTTTTCTTTTTTTTCTGTTAGGTGATTAATGAGCATTTTATTGTTTTTTCAAGGAGAGCGGGAGTAGAGTTACTGCAATTTTCAAACCAAATATGCCATAAACAGAATCCATTTCGAATGGTCATTAAACGATTGACATAGATACTATTACACTTCAAGAAATTCAGAGGGTGAAGTATTCTTTCTGGAAGCTGCCTTTTCTGTTCACTTTTACTTCTGTCAGTATTTTTTTTTTTTTTTTCATTACTTTCTAAATTACCACTGCTCGGAATGCATACACATGTATTCAGATTAGGTTGACTGCTAACATAAAAAAAACAAGGAGTGAATTGGGAAGAGGACTTCAGTTCCATTGGGTTCCTGATAACATAATGTTAGGGTGCCTAATAAGAACACCAATCATATATGAAATGCTCTTCCTGATGGTGAAGAAAATGGTATTTGTGCTATTGAATTATATAATGGAAAGCAAGTTCTAAGTAGCCCCATGCGTAGCATAAGCCAAAAATGTGACATTGTGCTGCGTGTTTAAAAAAGATGGCTATGAATTAGTATTTCTGTAAATATTAATCCTAAAGAGGTACTTCTATGTATAAACACTATGCTTGATGATGGCTGGAGAGACTATAGATTTATTTGCCTCAGTTTATAAAAACCTAATAAAAAGTATGCATACAAAAAAGATATAGAATCTGAGAGAAATTTTCTGGCACAAACACATTTAGGTTTTGGTTCCCTTAAGGCAGAGTATAGTGAAAAATATATGTATGATATTTGGATTCAGTAGTGTGCAATTTATAAGAAACACCTACAAGTTTTGTTGGAAGAGGAAGGGATAAAAAGTATTTAAATGCACAATAGTATATTAGAATTAAAGAAATTAAAAATTTACTTCTTTGTTAATCAAGTGTTGATTTTAATGAAATTCAAGTTTTATTCAGCTATTTTTAGTATTTTTTTGCTTCTACCCACTTTTAAGGTTGACTTAATTCTCGTTGCATTTAAAGAACATGAGGATGAAAGGTAGAAAAAGTATTGTAGAGACTATATTATTGATATACATTTGTTTTTGAAATGATAAAAATTGAAAATTTTTCAAAGTCTTGGAAAGTTAAATATTTTTAATGAATGAATTTTTTTCCTTAAAGAGTCAGCTGAGGTATTGCAGACCCGTTATAATGACAAAAATGGCCACAGGGAGTACTTCATCCATTATGAAGGCTGTAAGTATAAGAATTTTGAAATATTTGGAGAAGTTTCTGTCATAGTTTTAGTGTTTAATTTTGTATTTGGATGCTGTTTTTAATTTTTAAATTGTTTAGATTAAGTACATTTTATAATTTTTTTTTTTTTTTTTTTATGTCTACAACTTATGTAGAACATTCAAGATAAGTTGCCCAGAAATACTCTTTTATGCATACCTGTTATAAGGAATGCAGTGTAAAAGGTTTCTTATGGTCTTCATCAGAATTCTACCTAGATATTTCTTCACCTGATGCTGAAAGGCATGGCTGTGTATGTATACTCTTTAAGGTGGGGGGGGGGAATGCCACATCAAGAAGGAGTTAGCTGAATGGAACAAGATTTTTTATTCAAAAGGCACAGCTACATACAGTGAAAAAATCAGCAAAGCATTGGTCCCCCCTTATGCAAACACTTATTTGACTTAGTCCCTTATCTGACTAATGTTACATTTGTAACATTGCATAAGATCTGGAAGCGGAATTTGTCTTATAACCCTACAAGATAAGTTAGTGGGTTATCACATCTTAAATAGAATAACAAAGTGTTGTTCAGAGGTCCATATTTAGAGTAAAGAAGCCATCGTAGGACAACACACTTTATTTACAGGTATAACAAATGATGAATAAAAAGAGCACACAGCAAATCATATTGACCATTACACAGCATATATTATCTCACCATCTCCGTATATTCGAATGACGGATGTGTCGGGAGAAGAGACAGCTGCACCAGCATAATTAATATGCATGCACATAAGAAAAAAAGTTCGCTCGCCTTTACCCAACACATCCCTCCTGTGAGTAAAATGTTTTCAGTACAAAAATGAAATACAAACAATACATAACACATTACATTTAAGAAATTAAGGAAATAATTTTCAATTGACACTCTTAGTAAGAAAATCTGCAATCATATTATCAGTTTGTAAATATTCCAACTTAATGACATTGTCCTTTAATAAGTCCTTCATAAAATGGAAACGTAAGTTCATGTGTCTGGATTTCGTCGAAGATCTGGCACAGTTGATCCACTGGATAGCTGCTTGACTGTCTGTATTCAAAGCCACTGCACCATCCAAAAATTGTTTACATTTTAATTCTGATAATAAATTTACAGTTCATATAATATCCATACAAATTTCAGAAATAGAAAATAATTCTGCTTCACGAGTAGACAGACTAACACTTCTCTGTTTACGACATTTTCAAGAAATCAATGAATCACCTAGTAAAATATATGTAGTATTCCCCTAATAGGGAATGTCCTTGATGCTTGGCACTCCCTGTGTGAGTAAGTTACATCCAAATCTAAAATTTTAAGAACTTTTAATGGATAAAAATTACAAAAGTATTTTTATTACATATATTTCTAAAATTTCAATATATCAGATATAAATCTGAGTGATTAGCAAGGATTTAACATAAAACTCAAAAGCACTCTCTTTAGTGGTAAAAAACTGAATACCTAAAATGGGAATTATAGGAGGTAGGAAAACAACAATTCATATACTAATCTGACATTGGTAAAAGGAGATGGCCTTCATTTTTCATTCGACTCTGGAAAGTTGTTGTCATTTTTATAGTTTTTAGGGGTTCCTTTTTGGAGGAGAGGGGTCCAGCTGTTTGAAAAGAAAATTTATGCTGATGATTTGCCATTTGGTAACCACAAAAATATTTCAAAAGTTAGAAGAAGGCTGTATTTTAATAATTTTCCGACAATTACTTTCTTTTGCATTAAATCACATTTTGATTTCAGATAGATCAGTAAATGCAGGAAAAATATTAAAATTTTATTTTTTATTCTAGCAAATAATGAAAGTTTTTATTATTATTTAATACATTAATTTTTATTTAATGAAAATTTAATTTGTTTTTATTTCTTTTACTAGTTTAGTACCACAGTAAATTAATTAAATTTTATCTTTGATCTTTGTTTCGTTTTAAATGTTTGTAACATACCTTTCTGACAAGTGTAATTTCTTTATAATTTAGAAATTCATTCAATCGTCTTTTTAATGCCATAGGTTTTTAAAATATCTGTTCAATGAGCTTTCGTTGTTTACATTTGTACGAGCTATTGTATTAAGTTTTTAATGTAGCAAACTTCATTCAAATGCACCTAAATTTTCCTTTAATATTTTTTACTCAACATGAACTTGCAGTAAATATGAAGATTTGAAATGGTTTTGATATATAACAAAACATAATTAATGTAAACAGCAATTTTTGAATAGTATCTTATTTAAAAAAAACTTTTTTTTAGGGGTAGGCTTTCTATCATCAATTGTAGTGAGTACCTGAGCAACTCAAATTTTATGATACAGTATTTTTTTTAAATCGTGAAATGTATAGAAGGTACAAACAACCTAATATTGTCCAAGTCATCAAATCTTATCATATCAAGTGACTTGGACATATTTTTAGATGTGATACCTTGAACCCTGTTAAAAAAGTGACCTTTGCAAGTGTAGAGTGTACCAGGAAAAAAGGAAGACCTTGCTCAAGATGGATAGACTGTGAGGAGGCAGATCTCAGAACTTTAAAAATCAATCTCTGGTGGACCGTACCGACTAATCGGATCCGCTGGAGGAAACTTGTTGGGACGGCCTTGCCCTGTGATAGGCTGTAGTGTAACTGAAGAAGAGGATTCTTTTTAAATGTTTTATTTTAATACTTTTTAAATTTTTACAAAAACTTTGCACCAGTTTTCTGAGGCTTTCATCTTCTAGACGTTAAAACAGTTATCATGTGGAGATAAAAAAGGAGTGGAGAAATGTCTATTCTGTTACAATTATAATAGTTATTTCGGAAGTCTGTAGTTTATCATATTTTAATGTCAATTCTTTTTAAAGTGTTGCTTTTTCTTTTATATGTTTTTTAATTTTATTTTTTGAAGGTAATCGTAGGCTTGATGAATGGGTACCTCTAGACAGATTTGATTTTACATCAAGCAGGGACAATTTTAATAACCAGATGGCCAGCCGGATTGATCAAACTAACAGAAAAATCACTCGAAACCAAAAGCGAAAGCATGATGAAATCAATCATGTTCAAAAGGTATTAAAAATATTGTAACAAAAGTTGATAAATATATGTCAATGTAATTTTATTATTTTTGGAATATTTATTGATTTATTAGAGCTAACATTAATTTCATTAAGGTAAAATGTATAATAATTGAAAATAAATTATTGTATTACCTATATTGAAATTTTTGATACTTTCAGATTATCCACCTAGCCATTTCAAAAAAGCGACAGACATTGGCGATTAATTATTCACCAACCTAAGACATGAAAGACAGCAGTCATTTTAAAAAAATGGTGGTGCAGTAAGAATTACATAAAATGGCAACCAAGTAACAAAATTAAAAATGCGAGAAATATCCATAATAAAACACTTTTTTTTTTTTTCTTTTTTCTGTTCTTCTCCCCATTTACACAGCGATCTGTTTTAGCTTAGAAAAATCAGAAAATTGCAGAAATTTAGCATCATGCATATTGTCTTTTTTCACTTTATGCTATTGTTTTCCCATGCATATGTTTTTCCATACAGCTATCTGTTTTCGCTTTTAAAAACATCAGAGAACTGCACTTCAGAGAGTGGCATTTTTAGTCAAATTTGATCATTTACAATGTACAGCTTCAAGCAGTGTGAATTTTTGCATTCCGTGTTAGCCAAAACATAATTTTTCCGAAGAAATGCAGTGCTTTCATTTTTATTAGCCGGGAAACTCCACACTCCTATTAGTATTCCTAATATGGCTGTGGAGAAACTATGCATAAATTTATGAAAGACTAATCAGAACAAGCACTAACTAGAAAAATGACCATCACATTTGAAAAGATAAAATCTGCTCCTGTCTGCTGCCTGCACACAGCTCCTGTGTTGCCATATAGACATTTACCCAGTGTTTTTGGTTGCTTAGCTTAGTGACACACAGCAGTGTCTGGTGAATTATCTTCAGAGTTAGTCAGATAATCAAAAAGTACCAAATTTTTTAATAATTTAAATTTCTATAGTTTAGAAATTCCAAGTTTATTACAGTAAGCGCCAGTTAATGTGATCACGTTTGTCGAGACGAAAGTTGTTTTAATAACTTTTAAGTGACAAGAAAAAATATCTTTCAAAACAGCAATGAAATTTTAACTAATTTAATATAAATATAACAAGAAATATATAAATAAGTACTTGCCCTAGAATTTTAGGTAGCAAGATGCAAAAATTTGTTTATATATTATTCATGTCTTTAAATCAATAGTTCACTTTTGAACTGCTCATAATGTGTTTAAAGCAGTAGTTCATTTATGAACTGTTTGTTCATAACATTTTTGTAAATTATTTAATTGATGCTATACCCCTATTATTAATAATCAAAGGGCATCCCTTATTCGCTGGCCTAGCTGCAAAGTTGTTGAACACTGGTAGTTTGGCCTGGGGTTTAAATCTCAGCAAACAGGCTGTCTGCATAGGTGTCTTTATGGTTTTCCCTATGCATATATGAGCCAGTTCCCTTTGAGCCATCCAGACGGTACAGTGATTATTGGAACCTACTGCTTTACTGAAGGCCCCGGGTTTGAATCCTGAAGAAGACATGGCTATAATTGTCCATTCCTTCATAGGAGGCAACTGTGGCCACTGGTTAGGCACTTCCACAATAAAATAGCCATCACTTCTAGCTTTAAGAGTGGCTAATGCTGAATAGGCAAGTGTCGGCCATTAGATTAAAAAATGTTTCCCGTAGAAAGGTCCTCCACGAAGGCATCACTCCCCTTTGGCAGATAGCCCTCGAGCTCTTTGCTGTAAACAAATAAACTAAACTGAACTAACACTCATTCATTGAAAGAGAACATGCATATGTAAAATTTATAATTAGGCAAAATAGCAACCTAAACTTGGCTTATATGTTTTTCAGTTTTTTTTTTTTTTTTTTTTTTTTTTTTTTTTTTTTTTTTTTTTAAATAAGGATTAAAAAGGGAAAAATTCTGCAAAAATTGTTTTGCTCCTCAAGAAGAGGGACCCATGTCTGATCATCCTCAAAATCGGTTGAGTTATTTTATATCAAAGCTTAAGTGTGCTTTTTTGAATAATTTTAAATAGCTGATGAAAATCGGAAATAAGCCGTTTGATGACATAATCCCTTACTTGGCAAATTTTTTTTTATTCTTGCTAATTTTTATAGTCTGTTTGGACTTTATTTAGTGATTTTACTTCAGTTTCAAAGATTATTCACTAATACTCTGATAATAGTGAAACCAATTGTTGCTCATAATAAGCGGTGTATTTGCTCATAATAAGTGGTGTATTCTTTCAGGGAGAAACTTAGAGAACTATCTAAGGGTATTTATATTAAACAAGGAAGAGAGCTGGAAATCAGCTATGCAAACTGTTCACTCTGCAGCTGGGAAGTGAATTGAAGTAGAACTGCCATATATGATTTCAGATTAGACAGGACCATACATGACTTTGCATTTAAAGACTGTTTTTTTTTCCCCCTTCAAATTCTGGTCAACTATAAAATTGAATGAGTACATATAAGCTTGCAATTTATATTTTAAATCCTTTAATATTTTTTTTGAATTTCATTCAAACATTGTTGAAGTTCTTAATTATTGTACATTATCTCTTATATGTGAAGCTTACTGAGGGATTAATTCAGTTAACTGAGGGCTGATTTCCAGCTCTCTTCCTTGTTTAATATAAATACCCTTAGATAGTTCTCTAAGTTTCTCCCTGAAAGAATACACCACTTATTATGAGCTTACTGAGGGCTTATTTCATTTTTCTTTACTCGTCAGAACTTTTTTTCATTCAGGGATTCATTTCTTCATTAAACTTTTGACCCTTTATCATTGAGATTTTTCTCAACCCCAAAGATATTAAATATGAAACAAATATATAAAAATAAGTATTTTCACATAAATAATTTATTTCTTTGGTAAAGAGTGTACATATGAAAAGAAATAGTTTTAGGATTTGCTTTAGGTATGCAAAAATTAATAATAGAAAATCATGTTTTAATGAGATGGATGTGCTTGTTTTTTCCTTACATAACAAATTAAATCTTGGTTCAATATTTGACGCTGCTGAATATATTTTTGAAGTTTTTCAGCATTGAACAGCATTCGGATTGAAAAGTATTTGACACTGCTGATGTTTGTCAAGTTTATTCAGCATTGAACAGTATTTGGATTTTATAAGTGTTAAAGCTAAAAATGTTGTTTCATATATGGTGCAGAAAAACATTTAATGCCATTCCAGAATTTGTGGGATATTCATTTCTAGCTCAAATCTAGAATTCTGTCAAAATTTTCATGGGAAGTCAAATTCTAAGCGACTTGATAGCTCGACAAATCCTTCTTGGACTTTATATGGCAGGTTATTAATCTCATTAATGCCAATGAAAAACAGTTTTTTTAATGCAAGATAACTTTTTGAAATCAAAAGTCGATATTAAGTATTTACAAAACTTTGTAGAATTTCTAAATGATTTATAATAAATTTTTCATTTAAAGTTTTGCAATCTCCTCTCCCCCAGTTACAAAACTGCCAATGGTCTTTTTAATGAAACCTCCAATTTTGTCATTAAAAATAAATATATTGCTGTTTTTTCCTCGAAGAGAAAAGATTGTTTACTTTCTCAGAAATATCAGATAAATAGTAGAGCTTTGATAGCCGTAAGCCATTTTGAAAAAGAGCATCAAGATCAGTTTTGTTTGTTTAACAGTTAAAAAAACGGTAAGTAGTTTTATATTATAATGAAGCAATCTTAAATTTCACCCTCTTGACCCATCTATCTTACTTTTCTGTATGTAATAATAATTTTTATTATATATGGAGTCGATGTTTAAATGACATGCACAGGTTTAAAAATAAATGGCTTAACAGCCATTTATTTTTAAACCTTTGTCCTTTGGCTCTCTGTTATATGGCTTTTGATAAAGTTTATAATTTTAGCAGCATCCTGAAGCACATTGTTTTATTTGTTTGCTAATTTTATTGCTGGAAAGGCCTCTGGGGGAATCAAGCGATGAGAAAAATTTACAAGCTTATTACCAATAGCTTTAATAAATTATTTAAAACTAATATTTTTGCCTGTCATCGCTTTTTTACCATCTGTGCGTATTCCAATGCAATTTTTCCATTCTAAACCTTCACTTTTAAAAAACTTGTCAACTTTATTGTATATGTCTCCTCCTCTTGTATGTTCTTCCAAAGAACAACAATATGACAATTCTTCATCGATATCTTTTAATAAATGCATCTGACATATATTAATAACTAAGCTGTTTTTTAAGTATCAGTTGTTCCATTACGCTGAATTGTAAATTTTAAACTATCTTCAAGTCCAGCAATAAACTGCTTGAATTGGTCATTGCTAATTTCAGAAATTATGTTGGTGGCAATGTTGCTTGATGAAGGAATTTTGGAAAATTCATCATCATATTTGCTTCCCTGAAGTAAATAACAACAGGTAATACAAGATCTTCTCCGATGGTGTGCGGCTTTTCATTTTTAACAATCAGGTGTGAAACTTCATGTGACATGAGTAAATATTTTTTTTAAGAGTGATAAATTTCTCAAAATCTTGCTTTTCTCTATTTGAATATTTTAGCAGTCTTTCGAAACATTCTTTTGTTTTACTGGCATATGAAGGATGAATGGATTCAAGATCTCTGTTTAATTTCGATGGTTTTGTGCTCTCCATACTCAGACCATTATTGCAAATTAAACAAAGAGGTTATTCTTTATCATCACAGTTGTTGCAACTAAAATCAATCAGATTGGAGGAATATCTGATCATATTTTCTTTTCTCATCTCAGAAGCTTCTTTCTGATTACTAGATCCTATTTGAAGAGATGCATTGCCAGCTGCATCATTACTTGTCTTACTCAAGTGTCTTACTCATTTATCCACAGCTCAGAAACATTTTTATTTTAAAATTTAGATAAAATAACATCTCTTACAATAATAACATCTCTTACAATATTCAAATAAATGTCAACCAAAGTTGAATAAAACACTAAAATAGAATGAAGTATTGTACTTGCAATATACGCAGTTGTTGCAAGGAAACAAAAATAACTGGCTATAGTAGAAAAGTGTTATTACTACATTATTTGCAGTGACTCTGACCTTATTTTTGGTATGTCTATGTGACACAGGACATTATATCTGTGTGTTTGCGGCATATTTTGATTCTGAAATAACCTACAGTCTGAAATTTCAATGTGACACTGCTGTTATGATGTGCTTAGTGTTATTTTTCAATATCTAAATGTAATTTGCGCCTCATCGGGCTGAGTATTATATTTTTATAATTGCTCTCTACAGAAAATGCAGTATATTAAAGATATCAAAAAGACTGTGACTAATGGTTCTTTAACCCTCTGGCTGCTCATCCCGCGATTTCCACGGGCAACTCAAATGTAGCAAAATTTGCTCATCCCGCGATTTCCGCGGGCATATGTTTTTCTTCCTTTATTGAGGAGCGCATCCCGTTTTTTTCCCCCGTTTAACCATTGAAATAATTTATATACAGTATTAGGCGTTAGTTTACGTTTTGGCCAACAGATATCGTTAATTGTCCACTAAATTGGGGCATTTAAATGCACATGGTATTAGCTCTCAAACTTCACTCTTTGATGCTTTTTTCTTATAGAAATGGCTGCTAGGAAACGTTCAGTGATTATCTGAATTATTTAATTAAATTATTAATTATATTTATTGATTAGATTAATAATTAGATTGATTATTAATTAGATTTATTGAATCTGGTGCAAAGACTGTGAAGTTGGACTTTGCCTTGAACCCTGTTTTGAACTCTATCATACTAAACTGCATTTCTAAGGTATTTTTACCTCAGCGCTTTATATTTTCTTAAATTTTACTTTTTTATATTATGCAATAAATAGAAATTAACTATAATTCGACTGAAATTTATTTAAAAAAAGATTTTTTTTTGGTGATAACATCTGAAATTGGTTTTTCTGGCAACTTAGTTTCTCATGATCTTAGAGCAACCCAGGCCGCCCAGTCGGTATAGTGGTCAGGGAAGCTGACTGCGATACCAAAGAGCCTGGGTTTGAATCCCGGAGAAGGCATGGCTATAACTGTCCACTTCATAGGAAAGGCGATGGTGGCCCACCTATTAGGTGCCTCCATAATAAAGAGACCACCATATCTGGCTTTGCGTAGATTAATGGACTGGGATACATTTGTAAATGTTCACAATCTGCCGTTGGAAAAAAAAAAGTTTCTCATGATAAAAATCTATATAAAAAAATATTTTCTAGAAAGAAAAAGTGCATTTTTCAATTCTCCAATATATATAGATTTAAAATATGCAAGGGAAAAAATACACAATTTTGGAAGTGATTTCAGTCCACAAATTGAGAAGTCGGAGGGTTAAATCCGTGTATCAGAAGTAAATTTCATTTCATTTGCTTTGCGACCTCATTGGGGGTTGTGATCCACAGTTGTGGCCTTAACACCTAAAATTGTATTCCGAGAGAAACCTAGAAATCTGGGAATTGGATGCTAACTGAGAAAATAAAGGTGTTAATTTTTTTTTAACTTTATTTTTCAGCTGACTTCCAGCTTTTTACTGGAGCAGAATGAAAAAGCAAAATCAAAATTTTTGCATTTAATTGTTTCTTTTTAAAGTATTTAAATGGTTTTGCATATTTATAACAGTATTTTAATATCATTTTGTTCTTTCTTCTATCTATTACAATATTTGTATCCCGTTTTTCATACATATATATATATATATGCACATGTATATGTTTCAGAGTTATGCAGAAATGGATCCTACTACTGCTGCTCTTGAAAAAGAACATGAAACTGTAAGCATTTTTCTCTCATATGTGTAGTTAAATATTTGTACTAAATAATGCTAATATTGGTCTACAATGATTTTCTTTAATGTATAATTTATGATGATTCTTCCATATTTTTGTATGCTGATTATAAAAAAGAAATATTTTTTCCATAAGTCACAATTTTCCTTATTTTGGTTTTCCTTCTTGGGATTGCTCAAATATCGTGTGTAAAAACAGATTTGAAATCACTGGGAAATAATCTCCCTTTCACTTCCATTTAATAAGCAAAAATTAAATTTGTTGACTAGTGTAATCATTTTAAAATTATGATTTTTATAATGAGCCAGCAAGGTTTTGACTTCGAGTGGGACAAACATCAGACTACCTGGTCGAAGGTTACCTACCTCCATCGAGAGTAATTCCTTGTGAATATTCTCAACAAAGTAGATATGGTTATACTAAGTAATATCACATCCACTAAATGGAATGAGTAGTCTTAACAGTAGAAAAGAGCAATGAAGAAAATGAAGACAAAGCTATTGAGCTGGTGAGTTAAGGAGCAAAGAAAATGAGAGTAAAACATATAAATGCAACGTGAATTCATAAAGGGCATCATAACAAATAAAATAATTAATTACATTAATTTTATGAATATGCATAAAATATAAAGGCATATGAACATACCTATAAAAACATACCTAACAACCAACAGCATCGGCAGAACACCAGCCACGAAAGTAATCATCGAAAACACAGATCATTACAGTCACTTAATTAGAACTACTCAGAGTGCCACCACTGAAAATTTTTTCCATAATGTTGCATAAAACAAATATCTTGTCAGTGGCAGAGAGCCGCTTTATCTATTATTCCAGTAATGGTTTTCAGAATGTGTTATATGGAAAAATCTGCAAATAATTTTTAAATTTTATTAATCACTTTGAAAGCATCAAACATGGTAGTCATGATGCTATCCTTGCTATATGAATTCTTCGTTCTCATGGTTTTTGGCCGCTCCCTGATGCATAGATTTAGGTGTATTTTGTCTAGGAATATTTCTGTTTTTTCTGCAGGTTTTAGCTTTTCACTACGCAGAACATGTTTTTTGGTATTGAATATATTTTTGCATAGCTGGGTTTAAGGGCTTACCTCGTGGTCTGAAACTAGGTTTAACATAGTCTTGAGTTTTTCCCAAGTATTTCTTCTTAATGTTGGTTGTATTTTTTGGGCATTTTGAGAAAATTGTGGCGTGATACCCATCGCAGTTAAGTTTCGTGATCTATTTCGCATGGCAGTCAGAACGTTTGTGCAGGAGTGCACATTTAACACATTACGGAGTAAGTTTGCACTCGCCCAAGGAGTGATAGAAAATTTGACAATTGTGGCACTGGGCCATGCCACTTTTGAACTTATGAGGTTCAACCGAGACTACAAAATACATCAAATTTACTGTATCATATATTTCTACAAGCCCTAATTAAGACTTTTGTGTCACAAATTTATCAGGAAATAAGTAATCTTTTACTGAAAACTAATGCATAACCCTCATTCTTCTATTATCAGTGTAGCAAATCCTGAAAAGGAGTATGCAAAAAGCTGGCATATGTTTTAGAGATGGAAGGGTTTAATTGTGTTTGTTATCTTGTTCAATGGCGTTTTATATAATTATTATGCTGGATTAAGGAATAAACCATATTGGCAATATTCAGACGCTTTGCAGCACATTTTAAAGCATTATCACTTACAGTTAATCATTTGCAAACAAAATCTAATTTGTTGTTCAAAAAAATAGAAAGGTCTGTAATATAAAATTTTGGAATATAGTTTATTAGATATAATTGCCATAGGAGGCGGAAGGTGTTTGTTTGTAGCAAACGCCTGCCTGAACTTGTATTTTATCCCGTAGGAACTTAAAAAAAAAAAATTGTTTCCTCTGTGTCCGAGGAAAACAAAATCTGGAGGCGGAAGGAGTTAGTCTGTAAAGAACGCTCCTGAACTCTACTAGAAAGACCTATGATGCTCTTGACTAGAGAGAACGTCGTTAGCAAACTCCTCACATTACGAGTACTGTAATTCATTTTAACGCCTACTTTAAAGAACTGTGAATGGCAACGACTTAACTGAGGAATACGCATGCGTAAAGAGATGAGACTTCTGTTGAGACGCCTGTGAGAGAGAGTTTGGGAAGCTCCGCCAGCGAGCTGAGGTGTGGAGACTAAATTTGTCCAGTGATGATGAGTGCTATCTTCGTTAACGTCTCTGATCGTGTCACCAACTTGGATATGTACTCAAGTTTTTCTAAATGTATTAATTAAATGTTGTATCTGTGTTATATTGTGTAATTAAAGTGATGCATCACCAATACCAGTGTTGAATATGTGAAAACTGGTTTTCGAAATGCATATCAATGCTTACACCTTTATTTCTTTCCACTGAAAATTATATTTTATTTGGCAGTTGAATAACATATAATTTAATTAGTTTTTAACTTTAGAAAATGGTGTTTATAATATATTTAAAATAAATGTCGTAATTTAATTTTCTTCTATGTTATTTCAACAAATGTAAATTTTGCTTTGCACGTATATCCCTATGATATTTAAGTATCAGTAAGCAGTGCTTTTTAGTTCTTAAAATTACAGCTGAATAGTGACTACCATGCATTCCAGCATCTGTAAGAAGTAAAGCTGTGTTTGTTTGCTGTTGTGCCTTATCATCATCAACAGTGCATAAGAAAAACAAGTGCATTTTTCAGTAACGTGGCCCACATTACAAGACTTTTGAAGTTCTACAAATGAATTGCTGTTATAAAGTCACTCTCTTCTCATGGCTTGATATAAATAAATATGTCTAAATATTATAGAAATAACCTTAATATATGCTGCATTATTTTAAATTTTTATTGTAGTAATTCTGTTTTTTCATGAAAACCTGTTCAGAGTTCTAAGTGACTTCTGGTTTATCATATATGGTGAAAATCTAATGCTGTTCCAGTTAGAGTTGTATATGCATATATGAGTTTTAAATATCAAAATTGAAGAGTTTTGGGTTATAACATAATATATTTTTTCATGAAAATTTGTGCAGACCTTCAAGTAAAATAGCACTTATGGTTTATCAGTTTTAGCCTAATGTAATATGTTATTAATTAAATGTAATTTTTAACATATTAATATATAAAAATCTTAAAAACTAAAATTTAAAAAATTTCGATTGTGCACAGTGTCTATAATTAAAGAATCCTATTTCAAAGCTGTCTAAAAGTGAAACCATTGATCATAAAATTGTAAAATTTTCAAAATGAAAAATTGGTGGATTGAATGAAGGAATGAGAATCTTTCAGTAAAAAAAAAAAAAAAAAATAGTTACAAATAGTGTCATCAGCAGGCATTATATTAATAAATTATACATTTAGGCACACCTTTACTATAGTTTTGTAATTTTATTACAAAAAATGTTCCACATGGGCCATCATTTTCAGCTACCCTCTGAAATCGCAAGATGGCGTGTTCCATAGCTGTCCAAAGTGTGTGCTGGGAAATGTTCACCACGTGGCGTAGAATGCGGGCTTTAAAATCAAGTAAAGTTCTTCGATTGTCCAGACTTACCAGATGCTTCAAATGTTCCGAAATACAAAAATCGCATGGAATGAGGTTTGGGGATCGGGGAGGCCACACATTACAAAAGTGCAGGCTAATGACACATTCTTCTGTAAAATGACATTTAAGAACATTTGTAACACATCGTGCAGTATGTGGAGGAGCTCCAACTTGCATAAAGATTGTGCGTGCAAGGCACTGACGTGCTTGCAGAGATAGAACAATTTCGTTCTCTAACAACAATGCATATCACTTCCCGGTGATCAGGAATGACACTGGACCCGTGGAACTTAACTCCTTGAAAAGGTATGCACCAAGAATAAATGATGCAGAAAATCTACACCATCATATCATTTTTGGTGAATGCAACGGAACTTCTAAGACAAGGCACAGATTTTCTGATTCCCAAATTCGGCAGTTGTGAGTATTCACTTGCACTATCCAAATGAAAAATGCATTTTGTGTGTAAAAAAGATATTCCAGGGCCATTCGAATCGACCTCAAAGTGAGCAAGAAGCTGAAGTGAGAACCGGAGTCAAGCGTCAAAATCATGTGGAAGCAACCATTGCACAAATGAAAGTTCATAAGAGTAATATTGGAGAATATTCTGAAAGATCTTATGGACAATTAAATGTGGTCTATCCAGTGCCTCTGCTGTATACTGGATGCTGGTGTTAGCCAGAAAGTTTAACTTCTTCGAGCCGGTAGCGAAAACGCGGGCTTATCGCGGAGGCCAGCAGTGTCTTCCACGAGCGTCTCTCCAGGGCCGGGGGCTTTTTTGCTACTAAGCCTAAATCCATGAAATTTCCGAAGTATCAACGCATTGTTTAATAATGCTCTATAGAGTATTTAAACGGCTTATGCTTTATAGATATTTTTATATATATACTTTAATTACCTTATTTCTTGTTTAAATGCATATTTTACACATTTTATTTTAAATACTCACCATTTTATGACTTTTAACATTATACGTCTGGAAACTAAATATATTACTTAAAATTCTCTTTTCGTATGAAAAATTTGAAAACAGGGATCTACACACAGTCCTACGTTACATTCCTTGAACTCGTAATAACTCATTTGCTGTTTTGGAGGATTTTTCCAGGAATGTGAACAAACGAAGCATCGTCGTCTCATTTTCTTATCAGTCTCTTCTGAACAAAGTTTTGGAAAATGTCTTTCAGTTAATCTTTCAGAATCAATATCAGAATATCAGAATTTCAGAATCAATATCTGAAATATTTTGCATCATTTCTGCTATTTCATGCTCTGTTAAACATTTTCGACACTTCGACATTGCAATGGTAAAAACAGAAAGAATTCACGTCTAACAAGATCGAATTATTTTCTAAAACTGAACTGTAAACCGAAATACTCAACGCTTTAGCGCATATAAAACTTCTACTTACAATAAACAACTAC